ATATATATAAAAAAGAATGATGCACTCATCCCATGTTCTGAATCCTATGCCTGCAAGTATATATATATATATATGTATATATATATATATATATGTGTGTGTGGGGATTTAGGCCTGACAAACCTTCAGTGAAACATTGATCACTACTTTGCCTACCCACTCATCCTTACTCACAATTCTACCTGATTTACGTGGTAAACGTGACCTAAGATGTGGGCTAGTGTCAGTCGTCAATGGTAGAACGGGTAGGGCGAGATGGGGAAAGTACAGGGTGGGAGAAGTACTTTTGTTGAACAAAGCCTACTCCCTCTAAATTCCCTCTCAACACACCCGTTATTTCACTGGAAAAACGGGCGGGGCCCACACTTCTTTCTTGATCTCCACTCTTTTGTGACGCCTCTGATAAAGACGGCACGGGAAGTCGCCGTCGTCTTCCCCTTCACACCCACTCCACTGGTCGGAGTCGCCGCAATGGGCCGCGACGACGACAGGGGCGCTGCTTCCGAGGTCCTCGCCGAGTTTCGTGCCCTGGTGGATGGCGCCGACCGGAAGTTCGCCCTCGTTCGTGACCTGCCGCCCGGTGCTCGCGGCCCGCTCCAACTCCTCTACTTCCGCAAGGCATTCAAGGCCTACACCCGGCTGTGGCAGCTCCAGCAGCGGCGTCGGAGCGAACTCGTCTCTGAAGGCCTCTGCCGTTGGGAAATTGGCGAGGTCGCCTCCCGGATCGGGCAGCTCTTCTACGGACAGTACCAGCGGACAAGCGAGGTCCGCTTCCTGCTTGAAGCCTACGTCTTCTACGAGGCGATCATGAGCAGGGGGTACTTCCAGGCTGCGTGGGGTTCGGTGGCGCCCGATCTAAAGCTGAGGTATAAGGAGCTGAGGTTCCACGTGCGGTTCTTGATCGTTGCGTTGCTGTTGAATCGGACCGACGAGGCGGTGAAGCTCGCGGACCGGTTTAGGGCTCTGGTGGATGAGTCAAAGGCCGCCTTTTCGGTACCCAAAATATTGGCTCTTTAGCTGCTCTTTTCTTGTCTTCCATGGGAATCCTATCGAGTTTTGGTGGATCCATACCAAGGACTGTAGTGACTTAGGACAAACTTTAGCACAGAACTAATCTATAGTGCTGCTAGAGAAACAACTACTATTTGATGCTGAATTGTTCGTTCAATCAAACCATCTCAATTGATAATTCAGTGCCTTTGATTCCTCAGTGTATCTGATTATTGATTTCTTGTGGTGCCATAGTACAAAAAGCACTTAATTTGTTTCTAAGTGGTAATGTTCTCCTTTATGCTTTTTCGATGATATCTTATTCTAGACAAGTTAGCTCACAACTTCTGTGACAAACCTTGATAATTACCAGTTCTTGTCACCTCTGCTGCAATCTAAAATCCAAAGCCTTGATATACATCAACCTTATTGGCCACATGTCATTTGGTCGCAAAACTAGCAGAATATATTTGCAAAATTTCTTGGTAGTTATGTCTCTTGCTACATGCCTAAATTTTATATGGTAGTGCAATGTTATTGTGACAAGCTTCGTAAGAGAGAATTCCTAAAGTAATCATCCTATGAAAGAAGATTCTAGGTCTGGTGCCAAATCATGCATATACATTATTCCAAATGTTAGATGTTTGGTGGCTTTATTTTGGTAAAAAGAAATCCTCTGTAAATAAATCAATTCTCTAATTGGTATTTATTTTTTTTATAAATGATACTGTTTGACTTTTTTATATATCGTAAAACGTTCTTTCTGTTGAACCTTTTAACCAGATATCATATCAGCAATTTTTGTCAATTTTGAATAACTTTTTTTTGTTCATCGAGTCAAAGCATCATTTTTCCTGTGAAATCATTTTCTTCTGAATCCAGTGAAATCTTGTTATCTGCTTTTCTGAAGTTGGAATTACATTTTTGCTCTCCAGGCAACTAATTTTAGAGAATGGAAGCAAGTGGTGCAAGAAATTTCCAGGTTTTTGAAAGCTGATGCATATTTTAAAATCGCTAGGCCATTGAGATACAATGTCATTTTTGATGCTCATCCATCTTCCTTCCCATATATATCGCGATTTTATACTAGTAGGGTGTTACGACTGAAAGATGCTTTGCTTACAAGCTATCACCGGAATGAGGTTTGTTCATTTTTATGCTTTCTTGGAATAAGCAGCTATTAAGTTACCAGGAACTTGCCTACTTGGCTACATTTATTGTTCCACGTAATTGTTAGGAGCCAACAATTTAATCTTCCAGTTAAGCACAAAATACATATAGATCTGAATGCAGGGCCCAATCGCTTACAAGTAAATTATCTTGTTCATTCTTTCAGATCAAGCTTGCAGAAGTTACCCTAGACACCTTCAGAATGATACAATGTCTGGAATGGGAACCCAGTGGATCCTTCTACCAGGTTCCCGTGAAGCAACCAAGTGAAAATGGTGCTCTTAATGACCAGAATGAAGCCTCTGGATTGATTGATATAAATCTTGCTGTTGATATGACAGATCCAGATCTGCCTCCAAACCCATGTAAAGCAATTATTTACCACCCTTCGGTCTCAAAGTTGATTGCAGTGAGTGTTAAGGGTGTTCTAGTTACTAATTTTTGGTTCCATTTCTAATATATTTTATTTTTTGCTTTCATGTGTGTTAGTTATCTATATTCTTTTGGATGCTCAACATATTTATGTTTGTATGACAAATTATGATTTCTCCACTCGAACTTCTATTACATTTTGATAAGTAGTTAGGTGTGTATGTTTGAATAATACTGGATCAAATAAAGACCTGTATAAAACCCATTGATAATGAGTATCAATATACGATCCATCACTACCAGATCTGAATCTAGAACTGAAAAGTATTGGTTATATGAGTACCGATTAGAACCCAATAAATAATAGTATCATTTGTCCCTAAACTAAGTTCTGGATCTTGTGATTTATTTGCAGGTGAAGAATTAAATAAAAAGTATAACTGAATTGTGTTTATTGCCTCTAGACTTGGATTTATATAGAGTTACAAAGAGCTGAATTACTTGGAAACAATAATTATAAATATAGTCTCTAAATACAGGCCAAATCAGTCAAATGATTGTATTCTTTCATGACCAAATCAATCAAAGTATTGTTTCCTTTTAGATTGGTTTTCCTTTCAATCAAAGATTTGTTTCCTTTCAATCGAGTTTTTTTTTCATTATCAAATCAATCAAAGGATTATTTTCTTTTATGCCCCCATAAGATTGCACTTCTGTCATGACTGCTAATCTTGGAATTGTCTTGGAGGTAGTGATTTGGTGAGAGGATCAGCTAATTGATCACAAGCATGAATATGAGAGACACGTAGAAGTTTCTTAAAAATTGATTCCAGATGTAATGAAAATCTATTGCAATATGTTTCATCTTATAATCGAAAGACAAAATTAGTGCATAAGTAGGTGGCACCATCATTATCACGATAGATAATTGGGGTCATAAGTGATGCAACATGGAGTTCTTTAAGCAGTTTTGATCCAGTTTATCTTCACAATGGTGGAGGCAATGACTTGATACTCAACTTCAGGAGAAGAGAGGGCTGCTGTTTTCTAGCTTCTTAGAAATCCAGTTAATCGGGTGGCACCAAGGACAACAGTGTAAGCTGAATCAATGTTTGACAATCTGAATTTCCTGCCGATTTGGCATTGACAAAGGCATGAAGATGTACTGGTGAGTCTTTACAAATAAGAAGTTCATAGTCAATCATGCCCTTAAGATACGTGAGAATCCTTTTGACAATAGACCAATGATTACTAGATGGATGATGTGTGAACTGTGCCAGTTTGTTGACTGCAAAGGAGATGCCAGGACAAGTGAGAGAAAGATACTGCATGGAGACAAGAACTTAATGGTATCAAGTAGCATTGCTAGGTGAAACACCATCCAGTAGTTTTAGGGACTCGTTGAACATAGTGAACTGGATACCTCCATGACAGCAGACATATTAGTTTTCTCTGACAAACCATGAATATACTTGTGTTGTGAAACACTAACCTGGAAGGTAACGGTAAGGCTTCAATTCCAAGAAAATAATTTACTGGTCGTAAATATTTCAGAGAAAAACTTTGTGCAAGATAGTAGATGAGCTGTTGGACTAGGAGCTTGAGTGGCTAGTTATAATGATGTCATCTTCTATGTAAAAAATATATATAATATAGACGAACGCTGAAAAAAAATAAAAGAGAAATAACTATCTGACTTTGAGTTGATGAATATGAGAGATAATAAAAAGTTACAAAGCTCCATGTACCATGCTCATAGTGCTTGAAGATCATATATTGCTTCCTTCGGTTTACACAAATGGAGGAATGCGAGAGTCAATGAACCTCAACGCATGCTGCAAATACATCATCAGTTCCTTGTGAAATTGAATTGTCAACATCTAGTTGACGGTGAGGCCACCTGTTGGTGATAGCTAATGAGAGAATAATCTGAATAGTTGACAATTTAACCACCGATCTAATAGGAAGTAATCCTTTGATTGATTTGAATCAAAGAATGCAAAACCAGCTGGACCAGTGGGGTGATATATACCGGCCCGGCCAACTATGAGGACATGGACCAATGTGCTTGGCCTTCTTGATGCCAACGAAATTGTAGAGGCCTTGGTGAACAAGTCTCACACAAATGTGCTTGGCCTTCTTGATATGCTGATGAGAACAAGCATAGAGTCTTAATCACTTGTAGGCATTTGCTAAAGGTAGAATTTCATGTGGCGGCCTTGTTAGTTGATGCTATTAGGCCCCCATACCAGTATGGCACTAGTAAGGAAGTCAGTCTGATTTCCATGGCATACCAAAACAGCACCGTCTTGGCAAAGAGTTTCCTCTAGGTCAGCACAAGGCTTATGCTAAATCATGCTAATAGTCACATACCGTGTCAGCTCATGCTGATTGGAACACATCATGATGGCATGCTATCCACAAGATGATGTGCCATGAAAGCTAAAAAGCCTTGTCCAAATAGAAATTTTGATACCATAAGTTCAATAATCTACTTCTCTTGTATGATGTTTTCGTAGTAGTTTTGATTCTAACAATTTCAACAAAAGTGCAATTTTCACTTTCCAGGCTGTCATCTTGCAAGATGAATTCTCCATTTCTCTTCATGATTTCAGTTTTCTTTGTATGTAATGATATATGAACAGCCACAGATATTAGATAAACGAAAAGCACAAACATAATTATTTGCATAGATGCTCTACCTGAAGTTGAGGGAGCAGATGGCAAGGGGCTAAACTGATAGTTCCATGTTTTGTATTTTCTCTTCATGATTTCAGTTTTCTTTGTATGTAATGATAGATGAACAGCCACAGATATTAGATAACCCAATTATGCATTTATGATCACTTGCAGCTATTTCATTATAATCAAATATAATGACTTCCATATTTTGTATTTTCCAAAAATGTATTGCACATCATGCTGCACGCCCATTTTATGGCCTCTTTACTGGTCTATATTTATTCTTTCTATATGTAAGTTGGATATTATAGTTAGCTAATACTTTAATGGTATGCTTTATTTGCAGGCAACTGCTACAATATGTGACGAGTTGCCTTCAGATGGAATTTTGCTAATTTATATTTCATCTTCAGGTTTCTCTTTTGTGCTGCTGCAATTATGTTATTTTTCTGCTCAGTTGTGCTTGGACCATCTAATTTAGAACTCATGTGAAATATCTACAGGAAAGACAGATTGTAGTGTTGATTTTCAAAAAGACGTACATGGAAATTCACTGAACTTCTCAAAAGCAAAGCACACAACACAGGCTTCTCAGAAAAGAGAAAACTCACTGTCTCACCCTGCTGCTGATAATAATCCAAATTTGAGTTCAAAGATAGGACATTATTTGTGCCTAGGTTCGCAAGGAAATGGAGGTATTATGTTACATTCTGCATAGAGTAAATTCTTAGTTTTTATTAATTGGAACTGGGTAGGTTTAGCTACTTTTCTGAGGAGATATGCCTTAACATTTTTTTTTAATTATATCAGCTTCAAACAACCTCTATCCTGAAGATTTGGTTCCATTTACACGAAAGCCACTTTTCCTTGTTATTGACAGTGACAATAGCCGAGCATTCAAGGCAGGTTTGTCAAAGCTTGATCTTAACATTGTGGTCAATGCATTTGAAAGATTATGAGGATGCTGTTTGATGATGTCTTCATTAAATGAGAAAGTGAAATAAAGATAAATGCAGAAATAAAAAAATCCAATCTAGTCAAATCACTCATTCTTTCTTTCTTTTCTTAGAAGGTAATATTCCATATCATGGTTTTACATTTCACTCGGACTGGTACATAGTTGTTTGATGGCCTGTCGAATTGGTGACATGGACTGCAGCACGTGCCACCCATCACCATATATAATCAAATCTTAAAAAGAGTTCACTGAGGACCAATATGGATTTGGTACCCAAAACATCAAGCCATTTTTTCATGTATAATTTGAAAATTAATCTTTTTATCTTGATGATATTCTTGATTGATATACTTTAATCTTCATACGATGGTAAAACTTTCTTATGGATATAAAATATTCAATCAACATCTACAAACTTCAATGTAAATATATTTTGATTGCCTTTTTCCTTTGTCTTCTCCTTGAGAAATTTAGCAAATTAAATGAAAGCATTGAAGATGTTGCCAAGTGGCAACTTATAACATTTGATTTGCAGAATACGGCATAGACTACTCAAATTTATTTAAACGAGTTATAAATTAAGATGCTCCCGCATCATTCATCCTCCCTTCAGTGCCACAATTTCTATTTTTCTTTTTTAAGATGACTCTTTGAAGCAAGCCATGGCAGTATTTTCCTTGCAAATGTTAGGTTCTCTAGTTTCTGGACATCATGATGCTCAAAACTTTCCTTTGTGGTTCTGAGAAGGTTGGATAATTGAATATTTTAAGCCTATCCTGTAATGTTATGTGTACATATCAAAGATCAATAGCTGCAATTTGATCAACCAATATTTTATTTTCAGAATTTCTCAAAATATCTAATTGTCATGTTCTTTATTCAGAAAGTTGTCATGTAATTCGTTAATGCTTCTGTGATGACTGCCTGATTTTATCTTGTTCACCAATATCTTGAACTTTCCATAGAAAGGGCTGTATGTGGTAGGACGGATTGCATGATGGCATGCTCACCTTTCATGTTATTCCTGGTCTCCAACTCTTGTTTTACACTTGTTGCTTGTTGGCAAATGTGCAGACTATACATGGTGCAGAGAGAGGAGAAGCATCTGCATTGCTTCTTTCGCATGAGAAACCATTGTTTCTATCTGATACTAATGTAACATCTGGTGGAAGCCAGTTTACATACTTCCTAACTGCCCCATTACAAGCCTTTTACCAGTTAATAGGCCTTTCCTCCGATATAGAACCTGTAAGTTGTCTTGATGCCTTTTTCACTGAATTGGTGTTGGTACTTCATGATGTAAATTGATCTGTAGTTGCTTGGTATGATGTGGTTGCATGCATTTCTTAGGATGTATACAGCAATGCTGAGAGCCTCCTTTCCTCCGCTTTAGTTGAATGGGAAGTGTTACTGTGCACATCAAATTCCCTTGATCAGGTTTGGGCTCAAATTTTAACTGATCCATTTCTACGGCGACTGATTTTAAGGTAATTGCTCTCTGTTTTTGTGCCAATTCTTTAACAGCCTTTTTAATGTCCATGACACGGAATCTCTACTGACAAAATTTGTATGATAAACAATCTTTGAGGTAGCAACACATGAATATCTCACTACTTTGGACCTGCTAAATGTGACAAAATATTCTTCCTTCTTTGTAAATCATTAAACTATTGTTATTGTTATTGAGCTCTGATGAATGTCAGGTTCTTTCTCGAGTATGTGATTTTAATTCCATGCCATACTGCTCTAATATCAATAGAATGTATGGGGTCAAATGGAAATTACGAAAGATCAAGCGATATTAATTTGTTATCGGAATCATATGGATTAGCATAATTTTCCTTGTGAACTTATGTTGCAAAGATTCCATCTATATTTTCTTCTGTTATTGGGAGATTGAAGTTCTAGAGGACAGCCTTCATTATGTCCATAAAAACACTTGAAAATTAAGAATTTAAGAATGTGCACAACTGGAGCTATTAGGATTTGCAAGTTGTGCAATAAAATTGCTGAGGAAACAGGCATATCAAGGTGAATCTCTTGCATCAAAAAATCTAAACACCTAGTACTGGGGATTTGAATCCTGGTTTTGGAGAAATAAAAAAATTGATTCAGTAAACACACTATGATAGAAGACCATTGTTTTTTTGCATGACAATAATATTTGTAACTATCTGTAGCTATTGATCCTCTAAAGTTGAGTATTATTTGAGGTTTTTGTTTTGCTATATTGATATTTCCTGACCAGGTTTATATTCTGCCGAGCTGTGCTATGTCTTTTACGTTCAACGACGGGAGACAGCACCGTGCATCTACCTGAATGCCTCCCCAGCCTTCCTGATTCTGTCTCACCAAAGTCTGCTGTAACTCGGAACCATATTCACCAACTTGCAGAAAGATTAGGTGTCTTGAACCATTTTCATTTTCTAGATTCTATCAGGGAATCTGTTCAGAGCAGATAACTAGAAGAATACGAGAAAACCTTTCTGTAGATAGAACTGTGGTAAGTAGCACGCAACCATTTATTCATTGTTTCGTGTTGATAAATGAAGTCTCCAACTCTCATGTGGACTATGAAGTTGTTTGAGTGGATCACCCTGAAATCCTGGAAATGTATGAGGCCTCAGGCTATTTTAGATGCTTCTAAAGATTGTGTTGTAAGTTGTATATGTGAACAAAGTATGGGTTGACAGTGTAACATTTCACTTGTTGCGCTAAACCAGTAAATACTTTTGGAAGTTGTTCATATTGTAACCAATCATCCATGTCCAGAAGTGAATTCATGGATGATCATTAGTGTAATGAACTAAAAATAGTCATAAGTATACATGTTGTAGTGAACTATTCTAGCATTTCATGTTGGCCATCCATTTTCCCCCTATCATAAGTACAGTCATTCATGTCATAAACTTAATAGTATAAGTAAAAATAAATTATATAATCTTTATTGACATGATAGCTCGATTGTGTAAATTTAAGGTAAAATGGGAAATAAAATATTTTGTTATTATTACACTCAAGTACAATATCATGCTAAACAAAAATCAAATTTGAATACAAATATCTTAAATTTAAATAATAATAATAATAATAATAATAATAATATATTATACAATCTTTATTATCATGTTATGATCATTTAATTGTGTATATTTTAGAGAAAATGGATGATAAAATATGTCGATGCACTCATATTGAATATCTGAAAGTGCTTCAAATTAAATACAACTATCTGAAAACTCAACTAAAGAATAATGAATTATAGAATCAACATTATCATGTTATGATCATCCAATTGGATAAATTTGCGACAAAATGAACAATAAAATATGCTATTATACTCATATTGAATGGCAATACGCTCATGTGTGTGTGTGTGTGTATATATATATATATATATATATATCATGCCCGCTAATTACAAATATCAAAATGTAAATAAGAAATAATAAATTATAGAATTTTTTTTTGTTATGTTATGATCACCGTACCATAAAAAAATGGGACAAAAAAATATGTTATTACACTTATATTGAACATCATTACCCTTTGATATAGTGTGATGATTAAAACATGCCAAATTTGTATATAAATATCTAAAAATATGAAACAAAGTAAAAAATAAACCATACAATAGTTATTTTCTTGTTATGATCATAATTGTGTAAAGTTGAGGTAATAATTAAATATGTTGTTACACTAATATTTAACAACGGTGGATTGAGGGACCATATCATGTTAAAATGTGTTAAATTTTAATATAAATATCTTATAATTCAAATAAAAACTTAATAAACTGTGGAATCCTTATTAAAATATTTCGTTCATTTGAGGATGTACATTTTTGGTGTATAAGATAATATTGTTATAAATTGTTCAAATATATAACAAAAAGGAATGGCAGTTATTATACATTTAAAATTTTAAAAAGATAGTTTATTTTATAGTTATTTTTATAGTTATTTATTAAAGGTCATGTATTTTGTGAAAATATCTATAAATAAGTATTTGAGAATAAATTATAATAATTTTTTTCTTTTTGATTCTTTTCTTTCTTAACTTCAAAAAAATAACTCTCGATTGAATTAAACATTATCTAATTCTTATCTAAAGATACTTTATTGTTTACTCAATACATATCGGTTTATCATATTTATTAAAACTATTTGTATTAAACCCATAGTAATTTTGTTATCTATTAAAACTATTTACATTAAACCCATAGCAATCTTGTTGAGAAAATATATAAATATTATTTTTAGAAAAGTATTTATATACTTTTCAAGTCTAAATATATTTTCTCTAATATTATTTATCTTGTATTTGTTATTTATATTTGGTTTTCATAGTATTGTTCCTCCTCTTCATTGTTATATTATAATAATCTAAAAATAATAGTTTATGAGTTTATACAAATTCACCAACAAAAATACCAACAAAAATACCATCAAATTGTTAAATCAATATTTTGTTTGTTTAGTTCATTTTAATAAGATGAATTTTACCCATTGGCAAGACAAGATAAGTTCATATTTCCTGCTTTGAAGATTTTCTATGTGCTTGATCCAAATCTTCTACCAATTCTTGATCCAACCGATAATGACAATGATGAAGTCAAGGTTGAATAAAATAAGAGAAATAAAGATGAAGTTATATGTAGAGGATACATTCTGAATGCTCTTTCCAATCGACTTTATGATCTTTATATAATGAAACTATCTGCAAAAGTAATTTAAAATGATTTGGAATTCAAGTATAAAGAAGGTACAAACAAATTTTTAATTTCTAAATGTTTTGATTATAAGTTTATGAATGACAAGTCAATCTTAGCATAACTCATGTTGCAGGTCATTGTTAATTAATTGAGAGCTAAAAAAATCAAACTTCTTGAACCCATTCAAGTAGGGGTTATAATAGTCAAGTTGCCTTCATTTTAGAAAGGATATAGGAAGAAGATTTTGCATGACTCCAAGAACATCACTTTGGAGCAAATTCAAAAACATCTTTGGATCGTGGAGGAATCAAGGATGAGAGATAAGAGTGAGCAATACAAAAGCAAATGTCGTGAATCAACCTAAGAATTTCAACAAAAGCAAGCAAAATAAAGAGAATCATTTTGGCCCTAAAAGAGATTAAAGAAAATTTAAGAAGGTAAAAAGTGGAGGTTATTTTGTTTATAGAAAACTTGATTATTTTGCTAGGGATTATAGATTTAAAAAAGGCCAGAAACCAAAAATCAACTCTATTGAGGGAGATGATAATATAATCGTTACGCTGAGCGAAGTGAATATTATATTTGACAAGGTTTCTGGTTGGTGGTATGATACTTGTGCTACCGTCCATGTTTGCTATAATAAGATACTCTTCAAAACTTACAAAGAAGTCATGGATAGACAAAAGATTCAAATAGGAAATGAAGTTCATTCTAAGGTGGTTGGCAAGGGAAATATAGAATTTACTTTCACATTAGGAAAGAAAGTCACTCTTACGAATATTCTTTGTGTACCAAATATGAGTAGAAATTTAATAAGTGAGAATCTCCTTGCCAAACTTGGAATTAAATCTATATTTGAATATGAAAAGTTAATTCTATCCCTAGAACTTTTGTTGAAAAAGATTATTCCGTTGAGGAAATGGTCAAATTATCTATCGTTGACAATGATTCTGAAATTAATAAAGATGTTGTTTTTGTTTATGTTCTTAATTCTTATTCAGTATTGTTAGGAACGAGTCAGCACTAAGAAAGGGGGTGAATTAGTGCAGCGATAAAAATGTCATTTCATAAGATATTCGTTTCAATAAAATCAATATCGGAAATGTCTTTATCTTGAAAGTGTTAGGAACGAGTTGGCACTAAGAGGGGGAGGGGGGGGGGGGGGGGGAGGCATGAATTAGTGTAGCGGTAAAAATCACGGTTCTAAAAATTTCTTTCATTTCGTACGATAAAATCGATTTCGAAAACTTGAAAGCGTATGCGAGTGTAGCCATAGTAAAAGCACGGTAAGAAGGTAAGGAGGCTTGCAGTAAGATAAATTGCACAAAAGAAAAGGCAAACCGGATTTTTATAGTGGTTCGATCGTCGTGACCTACATCCACTCCGCCGATTCCTCTTCCGTCGAGACCACCAGCATCCACTATCGATCTTCCTTTAATAGGCGAAGATCAACCTCCTTCTTACACCCCTCTTCTCATTTTTATAGGTTTATGACACAACCTTTACAAGCACTCACTCCTCTCTCAAACTATTCTAACACTTAGACTAGAAGAGAAGGATTCTCACAAGAGATTACAACAAAGTTTTTCCCTTTTTAAATTCTTTGTACTTGTGTAAGTTAACCAGGGATGAGAGGGGTATTTATAGGCTTTAAGTTGATTCAAACTCGAAGCCTAAAAAGGTCTCATCCCATGTTTCCTGGGTACTGGTGGTACCACCACCGTTCCTAAGCGGTACTACTGCCACAGGATCTGCTACTGGGCAGTACAATCGCCTAACAGGGGCGGTACCACTGCTGGCAACATTATTGCCAACGGTACCACCACCTAGATTTCCTGGGGTGCTATTCCCCAGGCAGTGCCACCTATTAGGAATGGGGTCGGCACTAAGAGGGAGGGGTGAATTAGTACAGCGGTAAAATCACGTATTCAAAAAACCTTTCGTTTCGATAAAATTGTTTACGTTGAAAATCGATCTCAGAAATATCTTAACTTGAAACACATTCGTAAATGAATTGAATGTAGTAAGCAATTAAAGAGGTTTGTAGTAAGGTAAATTGCTAAACAGAAATGCAAACCAGAGAACATGTCAATTTATAGTAGTTCGGTCGTCATGACCTACATTCACTCCACCGATTCCTCTTCCGTCGAGGCCACCGGCATCCACTATCGATCTTCCTTTATAGGCGAAGATCAACCTCCTTCTTACACTCCTCTTCTCCTTTTCACGGGTTTAGGAGACAACTCTTACAAGCACTCACTCTCTTACAGAATTCTAAACTTAGAGTGGAGGAGGGATTTTCTAAAGAGATTGTAGCAACGTTTTCTCATTTTTGAATACTCTATGCTTGTGTGTTTTAACCAAGGATGAGAGGGGTATTTATAGGCTTCAAGTTAATTCAAACTTTGAGCCTAAAAAAATCTCATCCCGAGTTTCCCGGGCACGGGTAGTACCACCGCCTGTGCTGGGCGGTACCACCACCTGGGAGGCTGTGCTGGGCGGTGCTACCACCCAGACTGACGGTACCACCGCCTGGCACCCTGACAGGGGTTGTACAACTGTCCTGACTGGTGGTACCACCGCCTGACACAGTCTTGAAGACTATGCCACGACGGTGAGACTTCTTGGGGCACTGTTTGAGCCTCTTATTGGACCCAACACAGTCCTTACATGGGCCTAGCTGACCCCTAATTGGGTTGGCCCAAATTCAGATATAATTATGTATTAACTATGATTCCTAAGACATTTGCTAAGCTAAACAAGTCCCTATGTCTTGGTTTCTTCCGGCGAGCTTCCGGCAATCTTTCGGCAAACTTCCGACGAACTCTCGGCAATGTTCCGGCGGACTCCCGGCAAGCTCCTAGACTTCACGACGATCTTTTTAGTGAGTTCCGATGAGCTTCTCTGGTAAGCTCTGAGACTTCTCGACTAGTTCCGCCAGAACCTCCGACGAACGTCCGGACTTCCGACGAACTCTCGAACTCCCAACGAAATCGTGTCCTTGACTCCGGGACTTCATTTTGC